ACAATCCATCAAGCTTTACTTTCCTAACATACTTCCCAAGAAACTGAAAGGCAGTGGAGATGGTAGACAGGTACTCTCATTAAAACTAGTACCTGAATATGCCTACAGCATGTGCAGAGACACTCTGTTCTATACAGTTATCTAGATTATTACACTACTCCCACAACTGCCATATCCTTTGCTCTCTCTTCACAACTCTAACCAATTACACAAATTCAAAAACACGGAAATGTGCCAAAATGAATTCTACTGGTCATTGAGGGAATAACGAGCTTTCATTTTAGACTATTTTTTCAAATATACGTCTCCGTATTAACATCGTGTTCATTACTGCGTCCATGTTTGAGCACCAACTGTGCCCCCTGCCCTGCTTCCTCATTTTTCTGATTGAGTTTTCTGGTGCTGCTTTGCCAGTTCACCATCAAATAAATACAAATAACTTCAGAGGTGCAAGCTCTTAAAAACTTCACAACAACGTTCGCCAATACGCATAATATAATTTACTTACCACAACTATTAGATAATACTTCAGCTAAGTTCACATATCACAAAGTAGCTATGCTGAAATGAATGTGAAGTCAGGAACCTATGCTATATTTAGTTGGATCTGGGATTCAAGGGCTGGGATATTTTAAAAATGCAGCCGAGAACAGTAACTCCAAAATAAACATCTATTACACGACCTAACCTTGGGCCCTTTGAAGTCATGGGAAAGACTCTTACCAGCCTCACTCTTTGTCAGACTGATTTGCTGTTTAGGCCCAGAATCTGTTTTTATTCCTTTTACTCTGTTCCTCTTCTATACCCAAAACTCCGCACTGAGTGACACGTGCTACCTCCCAGTGCTTGATAAAATAGCATGCAGAACAGAATGACTTGAAATGCCAAACAACAAGATAAAGTTTTACTTTTAAAACTTCCTAACAGTGACAATGTTCAAAACCCAGCCATATTTCCAAAGAGTCCCCAGGAATATAAAAATCAAAAATCTCTGTTTAAATAATTCCACAGTGACCCCAAGATAAGGAATATTACAAGATCAGGTACACTCCCAAAAATGCTGAGTGCATTGCAGTGGAAAACTATAATTCAGAAAAGTTATATCATTTGCTTCCACCTCAGCTTTACTGAACTTTAAATAAAAAGAAGGGAATATTTTGGACATTTTATAAAGAGAACACTTTCCAGAGTCTTATGGATACAGAATGCAGCAAGTTACCTACCACAACAGAAAACAAGCCCAGCAAGACTTTTTAATAACATTATTTCAAAATCGACTTCAAAAGTGGAAGAGCAGTGTCCCTAAATAAAATTCATCTATTAGGCAGCACCCAAGTATTATTAAAAAGCTATATTCTGTTTAAGTTACTGCAGAGTTCCATTTCTTAATGTTATTTATTGACCAACTAGTGACAGAAGAGTTACAAAGTACAATTATGTGATAACTGACAATTTCTTTTTAATATACACGTTTTTAACTGGTAAACTGGTAACTGGTATGTGAGTGTCTATTACCATGCGTAAATAGAGTACACTAATATAATATTGGTTTTAGAATGCATATGAACAAAATTATAGATATAAGCCATTTTTTCCGGTCTAGAGACCAGTTTTATAGGTTAGTACAATTATGTGATAACTGACAATTTCTTTGTAATATAATTAAAAACATGTGTATATTAACTGATATGTGAGTGTCTATTACCATGCGTAGAGTACACTAATATAATATTGGTTTTAGAATGCATATGAACAAAATTATAGATCTAAGCCATTCTTTCCGTTCTAGAGACCAGTTTTATAGGTTAACTGCTAGATTTGCCTTTCAAATTGTAAATGCCAAAGACCAGTCTAATCAAGTTGAATTGTCTCTACAGAGCCCTAAGATTTGGTTGCCCATTGCAGCAGTGTGCCTGCTTGCAGCAAATCCCTCTCTCATCCCTGCTTGCCATGCTTTGGTTCACCTCACAGAAAGGTCTTGGAAAGTCCTTGGTCAGCTAAAGCTAGTGCCAAGCCTTTAACTGGACATAAACCAAACCTTCAGAAGGCGAGATCAGCCAAGCAGTGCCCTTGGCCTGCCAGCAGCCAAGGGGCAGCTCTCTGGCATGACAAGGCAGTGCATGTTTCCCAGATGCATGGACCAGGCTGTCAGAGCCAGAGTCCCTTCCAGCCCTAGCAGTAACCAGGTGAACAGCAGAGAAGACATCCTGACTGGCTGCCCTTCCAAGAGGCATTTTAACTGGCTGGTTGGGCCAAACACCACATGCATCCTTCCCAGATCAACTGTTCCTCTCACTGATCAGCAAGAGGTGCCTGCCACATGAACGTATGGTTGTACACAGATGAGTAACATGGTGGTGGTGAGTAGGGTGGCTGGAGCTAGGAAGTGTTGGCATGGGTGTGTTGATATTCCAGTAAGAAGGATAACTTATGATAAAATTGAAGTCTTCCATGGACCATTCAGTCACCGAAGGTGGATTCCCCTAATGCAAATGTGTTACGGTTAAACGTTCAGCATTATTTTAGGATCAAGGCACTAAGAAACAACTTGACATAATTGCCTACACTGCCAAATGTCCCTGAAAGGAAAGACAGGGATCTGTTGGAGTGGGTCCAGAGAAAGGCCATAAAGATGATCAGAGGGCTAAAGCACCTCTCCTATGAGGACAGGCTGAGACAGCTGGAGTTGTTCAGCCTGAAGAGGAGAAAGCTCCAGGGAGATCTTATCACGGCCTTTCAGTACTTAAAGGGGGCTCATAAGAAAGATGGGAAGAAACTTTTTAGCAGGGCCTGCTGCAATTGGACAAGGGGTAATGACTTTGAAATAAAAGAGGTAAGATTTAAACTAGATAGAAGGAAGAAATTTTTTACTGTGAGGGTGATGAAACACTGGAAGAGGTTGCCCAGAGAGGTGATAGATCCTCATCCCTGGTGACATTCAAGGTCAGATTGGACTGGACTCTGAACAACCTGATCTAATTGAAGATGTCCCTCTTCATTGCAGGGGGGGGTTGGACAAGATGATCTTTAAAGGTTCCTTCCAGCCCAAACTATTCTATAATTCGATGACATTGCCCAGGAATATCAGTCAAAAACAAGAGGTTTACACTGTTACTCTTACTACCTGAACAGCAGCAGAAGTCAATGTATAAGGCCACTCACAGAGCTACAATGACTCAATCAATAATGCTGCAGAACCCACCGTAGACCATAAATTCCTACTAGAAACCACCAAATGCAAAACACAAATAGTGACACCGTGAGTGAATAGCGCTCCGTCCAGCACGAGCCCAAACAAGTCTGAAAATGGCTTTACATCATTTTTACACTTCTGCCTGCTGAGGCACATTTATCACTGAAAGTAACTTCTCCTGAAGTACAGCTCATCTCATTTGCAGTCACCGCCTGCAGCACCTTCCTCCCTCTCCTACGCCACACCAGGGTCATTCTGGGAGTTTGGTATCACTGGAGCATAGCAATTACTAGCCGTGCTCAAATACTACAGTCACATCACCTATAAAAGGCTTACAGAAAGGCACAGAAAAATCAAAATCACTCATAGGAATTATTATAGTATGTTAATTCCCCAACAGAGAACTAGGCCTTTCTTCCATGCCAACATTTAACAATTTCAGCAGAAATACCCCCTAGAGGGGAAAAAAACCCCAACCAAACACAAAAAAACCCAACTACTCAAAGTTTTTGTAATGCTGTAACTGTCTAGTTTTTAAAAGGCATACAGGTAAATAGTCCAGATATAGTTCAGGGAATCTATAAATTATTGTATCAGACAGAACTTGATCTGCCCCAAAGGGCCCAGCTTTTAGGGTATCAGCTTTTAAATCACCATAGTTAGAGCAGCACACCTGCCAAGTGTAACCCAATTCAGAAGGCAGGGCCAGGAAACAAGTTACCACAACGGCATGAGCAGGGCAAGAACCTGCAGGTGTGTCCCTGATGCCACCCTTTTTGCTGACTTGGGGGGTTTCTGAGGGAGATTTGTTGGTAGATCATTTAAATTCTACAAACAGTGGAGTTCGATTGATTTTCATTTAATACCCTGCTGACAAATGTCTCTATTTCTCTCTCCCTCTCTCTCATACACACACTTTTTCCAATAGATGTTTTAAAGTGTTTCTATCAGAGTAAATATAATGGATATTGAATAGCACTGAGTAAAAGTTTCTCTGAGTACAGCTATACGAGAAATGCGGGTTATATGAATGCAAAAATCATAATGAATTGGACAAGTTCTAGTTATTTCAGAATCTATGCAGCCTATAGCACCAAATATTTCAAAAGATACATTATTTGCAACTGTGTTATTTTACCAGTTGCAGCAGCAGGGAATAATCACAGAACAATTTTGGCTGGAAAAGCCCCTTAAGATAATCGAGTCCAGCCATTAATCAACTAAACCTAGCTATTATTCTGATATATATATATACACACATGCTATATACCTCTGAATAGAGAGGGAAGCTTGAGCTGATAAAACACCTCCTGAAAAAAAGTTATCTTATATTATAAACTATACTAATATATAGCTCTCATATAATAATTACTTATACTGAACATAAGAGAAAAACAGGTAAATATTTATATTGACTCTTCTCTACAAGATAATCAATTATTTTACATAAATTGTTCTAAAGGGAAAGTACTTTTAGCTGAAACTCCATCTTAGATGTCTGGTCCCAAAGAAGTAGTATTTCATAAACAACGTTCACGAAGCTCTTGGGCAGATTTTCAGCTTGGAAGAGCAGCATAGCATTGGAGAACTCAATAGATTTTTAGCTATTTCCACCAATTAAGAATCTTAAGTCAGCATTTTCAAGACAAACATGGACATGTCTCCTACTTGAAGGAATCAGGTAACATGATACATTGTATGACACTGTACATACATATATATTTCATACATATATATTTACACACATACACACACTGTTCATGCACACAGCTAATTGCAATTCCAAGAAGTGAAAATTGTATCTTACCAAGACTGAACTCCAGCTTTGGCTTATTTGGAATTCTCTGAATACCTTTGAAGGTTGAAGAAAAAAATACATTAGAAATAATGTGGTTTCAATGTCTAGCTTTCAAAATACATAGTAAAACCTTCACATCCCTAATTCATACCTCTAACTACCTGCCATTGCCACCAGAGTAACATTTTATGTTACAAACTTAAAGTGAAAGACACCTTTGCATGATACCTGCCATTGCCACCAGAGTAACATTTTACGTTACAAACTTAAAGTGAAATGTCTTTCCTTTGCATGAAGTAATTGCCTGAAAAAAAAAAGATTACTTTTGAAGAAGACTTCTTTCTTTTTAATAGAAACTTTCTGTTGCTGGGAAAAGAAACTAAGAAAAAAACCAATAACAAACAACAACCACCTTTGGTTGTACATGTAAGATTCTTTCGATCACAACAACTATATATCTGTTGAAAAAATATTAAATCTAACAACTCATTTTAAAGTAGGTGCGTCATCACACAAAAAATGGAAACAAAACCCATGTTCTATGAAAGTATGTAAATTAGGACAATATAGTAACATATATCACCATGTTATTGACCTACCTATACATTTTAAAGCAACAAAACCAATTTCTTTTTGTTGGAAAATAGCACATGAATTCATTTTCTCATATACCAAGGACAGTAAGAACATTTTAATTCTCTATATTCTCTATGTTCAATTATGTATTTTACTGCAAAGGACAATATTTTCTTATTGTGCTAGAATAAAGGAGCAAACTACAGAGCTGCAATAGAAATATAGGAAGGATAGTTAAGTAACACTGAGTTGTTCTCCCTCTGCAGGAAGTAGTTGGATCTCAACTGCAGTATCAATGAATCTTGTGGAAATTAAGCTGATCCTTGTTGACATTTATGTATTGTCTCCAGTGAGCATTATTAAGTATTTTCCAGTATTGAAGAAATCAGTCAGATGGGAAGGACCAAGCTGGTATTTGCACTGGACCACAAGATGTTTGTTAAAAATTAAAAATAATTAAAAAGAAGGAAAAAAAAAAACACCACCACAAAAAACCTCCACCAAAACTAGCTGCCCTTGCTCCATGAAAACTTGGTGCTGCTGAATAGGTCTACTGTCATATTGCTCTCATTACTACAGCTAATCATCCAAGCCTATGCAAGAGAAATTACAGCTCAGAAAGGCCTTGATAAGTTAAAAAGAAATAAAATGAGATTTTTAATTTTTTTTTAAATGGAGTTATAACAAATTTCCGAGTTTATATTATGCTACTAACCAAGTCAGCACACTGGTCTGGAACACCTTTATGAATACACTGGATACAGACTTGATTAAGTAACTGGGCAACTGAATCACACTCCACAGGCTCCAGTGCACCAAACATGACTCAACATATGGCTACATGCTCTCAAATCCCCAGAGTGCTTTTATATCACAAAGGAACAAATCTGTGATAATAATTTAAGTATCACTAGATCTTTATACGTTTATCAAAGCTTTCAGACTATATTTTAAACAGCAGTCCATACAGGGCACAAAAGAGGAAAATAGTATTTCTAACTAAATAATTTCTAAGTCTTATGAAGAAAAAAACACAAAAGAGGAAAATAGTATTTCTAACTAAACAATTTGTAAGTCTTATGAAGAAAAAAAAGATTACAGAGAAAAAGTCAGAAACACAGTAATCACACATGTTTCCCCTGAGGGTTATCTGTATAAATCAAAATATATCAGGTAATGATATTTAAAGGTATTCTTCATCAGTTTGCTTCCTCTACAACTGCACTTTGTCAAGCAACAAATTTAACAGTATTATGTACCTGTTTTGTGACATTATCTGTGCCCCAAAGAGTAAGCCATTTTTATTATATGGCTTAATAAAATAAGTATACGCACTTACTCGTAAACTGTGGCTCTCCTAGACTGTCTACTTGGGACGAAGGGAGAAACTGCTGTGCTTCATCTGATGATCTCTCCTCTTTGATTTCCATGATCAACCTCCGGAGCTGCTGAATTTTATTCTGCAAACCTTCCGAGTTTGCCTCTCCCAGTGCCACAGCCCAAGATTCACAATCTGGCTTCGATGCAGCTTCAAGGTAAAGATCCGGTTCCCCACTCTGAAACTCTGCGCTCAGAAAACATAAACACAGTTTTTAGGAACTCTGATTCAAAAGGAGGGGATGATGAAAATATTCATGTCACATGCAATTACAACCACCAGACACACACATTTCTTTTCATGGTCACAGAACCATGTGCCCCATCAATCCCTTGAATCAAGCCCCTGTTCTTTCATACTCAGGGCAGCACTAAGTCTATGGACAGAGTGGTTCCCAAAGCAATTAACACATTGCTAAACTAGGTGGCAGAATCAAATGGAAACGGGAAATACTTTTTCAGTACAGACCCTGCAGCCTAGCAGGTAGCTATCAGAGCTGTGCACTTGAACAAGAATTTGATTTACCAGGGGCAGCAGACATGGTTCTGATAAATAGTGGGTTTCACCAGAATGAATGTGCCATCGTATCTTCTATTCGAGCTCTCCTTTATGCTCAGCCTCTCATTCATCCTTGCCAGAATACTGCTCACCAACACATGCAGATAATTTAGCATGACACGGCTCCTCTGTGAAGACTCAACAGGTTGTATGTGGCAGCTTCTGACCTCCTATCTATCCACATGCTGTTTGCTGTTCTGCCTGAAGTCTAATTGTTTAATGATCAATTTTTCTAAGAACAAACGAAAAAAGGGGATGAAAAAAATTCTGAAGCTTCCAAGGAATCCAGGTGAGCAGCAAGGGTCAGTTGTTTGATTAAAATTAGCACAGGAAGAAAAAACACCTCTTAGGCATTTAAAATTCTGCGATATAAATGGCTTCACAGAGTCACAAATTCAATGTGACATTTAGTGAGACACACACTGAGAAGAACAAACTGGGGAAGAAAGAAAAAAAATCAATGCTTCTTTAAAAGAAGTTACCAACTGATTTAGAAACAAAACTCTATAAAACACCTGTGCTATTGTACTAACAAAGACTGAAGTATTTGGTTGGACAGCAAAATCATTTTGGCCTAAATAAGCCATAGAACATATTACTGGATGAAACAGAACAGTTAAATGTTTTCATACTTAGCTTAAAAATCCAAATAACACAGAAAAGTTTTCTTCAGTACGAAGTGAACTTAAATTGCCTTTAACTAACTTGAGTATTTAACCTTGGGCACTTACCCACATATGTTATTCTACACCCGTTTTTACTTCATAAACTGAGCATCTGCCACTTACAATTAACTCTGGTTTTATTGTTACGGGGGGAACAAAAGATGCAAACCTCAAGTCTGAAAGCCTCTTAAAACTGTAGTGGCACAAATCCCTGTCGAGATGGGACAATTGTTCTGTCTGGGGGTGGATCTAAGGAAATGTAAGTGTGTGGCTGCAGCTGCTGCTAAGAATGCTGGATAAGATTTCACGTACCAGTTGGAGTCAGAAAACAAGGTACTCAGTTCTTGAGACAACAATATTCAAAATCTGAGGGAGCTGCAGGTCTTCATCAGATCCTCATTTACATGAACTACATCTTTGTCTTGAGTGACCAAATCTGAACAAGCTGAGCTTTACTGTTTGTCAAAGATGAATTTAGAGACATAGAAGTTTCAGCTCTAAGCTCTCCTGTGATCTGCTACTCCATCTGAGCCATGAGGGCAGTAACCTTCAAGAAGATTGGTCATTGGAAGAGCTAAGAACTTGTCATCTCCTCCAGTAACATCTGCAACAGCACAGTTGTCTACTTCTTTCTGTCACTGACCCCCAGCGACTCAGAAGTTTGTTTTTATTTCATAGTATTTTGGACTTACCAGTGGAAAAAGGAAAGGAAAAAAAAGAGGCATATAGACAACCAGCATTAAGATTTTGTTTTTATTTCATAGTATTTTGGACTTATCAGTGGAAAAAGGAAAGGAAAAAAAGAGGCATGTAGACAACCAGCATTAAGACCAAAATTGACCAGGAGTGATTCTAATAAAAAAATAATAATATTTACAGGCATGCAAAACACCTGCTTGTAGCATTCAGCCTTTAAAAGCACAGACAGTTTTAAAAGAAGCACTTTGGATATCCAAGATACCTCAGCTAAGGAAAGACTGTCAGACAAAGAAGCCTATACTTAACAACCCAAAGTAAAAATGTATCAAGGTGTTCCTTTCTTTTTGCTCTTTATTTTAAAATGTAAATAGGAACAGTGATCTTGCCTTGAAATACCCTACCACTAGCTAGATAAAAAACATCTGCTTTGGGAGGAAATCAATGTTTTGCAATTGAAATCATGCTATTTATATTTACCTCTTAGCTGTGGAAATCAGGCTGCCAAGCACAAAAGGCAGACTGAATCACCCTTAATATGCATGGAACCAGAAATGGATAGTGAAATGCAGTAGGAGTGGGCATAATTCACTGTATTCTGATCTAACAGGTGCCAGTTTTGAGATCTGGAAATTCATTCTAAACTATCACTTGAAAACACTACAGTCTGCTATATTTAGATCTTTGGAGTACTCTGATGGCTAAGTTAAATTCTGAAAAGCATATGAAAATATCTGAAAAATAGTCATCACTGCAAATGTAGAAAGTTTTATTCTGCAGATCCAGCAGTTGGTAAGTTATATATTTCCCATACTGTTTCAGTGCATGTAATCTTTATGTACTAGTTCACATACTAGAAGATAAGTAAGAAACATATAGAAATATAACATACATAGAAAAAATATAACACTGGCAAAAATGTCTGTTGCAATAAAGAAGCACAGATAATAATAGCAAAGATCATCATCTCTGTGCTCTTCTCTCTCAGATTGTTATGTTGACTGTTATTTTTAAATCAGATGCATACAGTAACCCTTAACAAGCTCAGACATTTAATTCCAAGTTTCAGCAGTGGAACAAAACTATCTAAATGTTAGGACTGACATTTGGCAAAATGCAACAAATGCAACAGCAGAAGCATTATGAGTGAAGTCTGTGGGTACAGCTGCTGCAGCAGAGCACTCTGCGTTTGCTCTACAGGAAGGTGGATGCAGCACTTGGGACTATATAAACTCAGATCCACTTCCCCAGCAGGGTTGCTATACATACATTTTGAAGGAAAGTTTTGCAGTCCAGAAATTGCTAATTTCCACACCGTATAACCATGTTCAAACTTCCTTCGACACAGAAAGTGGACAGAAATAAACATCACTTTAATTGACATTACAGGAAACTAACATGGTCTAGTGGCTACGCTACTTCAGGCACCATCTTAAATGGAGGTACCTCACTAGCAGGTGCTTAAAAGCCCTTCCAGCAGCTTCCCCACCTTGCTGCTTTTCCTTATTTCAGTACCAAAGACTCAACTGGAGGCAAGAGATGAAGAAGCAGAAGCAAAAATAGAAAGCAAAAGTGTCTGTTCATAGAGCCTTTTCTGATTGGGTCTCAGTTCACCAACAACTCTTTCACTGAAGCATGATTTCACTCAGACTTTCTCCCACAAAAGCCAGCATAGAAAGTTATGGTCCCATAGGACTTTGCAGCTCAAATATAAAGAATTCAACCTCCCAGCTCAAACAGGACTGCTGTCAAATAGGGAAATAGCACAAAGAGAAGCTGAGATATCCCCAGTGGCACTGGAAAGCCTTTTCTACTCTAACCCAACTGTCTGAAGTCAGAAGTCAATACTGATGTTAGTTCCATCACCCTCATTTTTTTTTATTCCCCTTTTTTTGTAATAATACTTAAATTTTCCATGTTTTTAAATTTAACAATAGCAATTACCTCTTTTCTATGCAAGTACTTTGATATGAAAACAAATTTCTTGTTAAAAATGTCTTAATGATGTCCCTCTTGATTCTTAAAGTGTACTTGATTGTAACTTTAATCATAAGCTCTTACACAGCAACCTGGGTTTCTGTGAAGCCAGAAATAATTGAGTCAACAGAAAAAAAAAATCTAGACAGTTATTGGAGTCAAGCCTTGTCTTTCAGAAGACTGCAGTTTAATGGAAAAGCTTTTAAAATCCAAAATAACAAAATAAAACAAACATATTTTCAAGGGTAGGGAGAAAACACTTCACTTTTAAAGCTTTTTCATCTGCTATTAATTTTCTATTTTTTTCTTAAGAAGGCTTTATTGTTTTATTTTACTAAACATGTAAAAGGGATTGAAAGACTGATACTCTATGGCTGGCTTGATTTTCATTAATGAGAGTTATAAGCATAAAATCACATTGAACCAGGTAAAAAAGAAATTACTGGCAGGATTTAAATAAAAACAAGTAGGAAGCACACAATCCATGTCCAGGATGGAAACCTCTCCTTTTCTAGAGGACCACTATTTTTTTCTCCTATGCCAATATGCAAAGTAATGAGAGTTCAAAAAGGCTAAAGGTTGTCTCTCTCTCTTCACACACACTAGCGAAAAGTAATTCTCAGTTGCTACCTCAGCAGTGGAAAATGGTTGAGAATATCAATAAGCCACTGCTACTCTACAATATAAAGCCCCATCACAGCTAACCACCATATGCTGTAACAAAAGTAGAATGGAAGCTTTGATACGTAAATTATATCCGCAGGATATTTCTAATACAGACATCAGAGGCTTTTAATTCACAAAGCTGACTGAATTCTATACGCTGATGCATTTCATGTTCAAATTAGGAGTGATGAAATCATCCCATGGTTACTCATGATGCTATGTTAATCTTCCTTTGGAAGTTAAATTTTCAATCAAAGATAAAGAATTTAATTAAAAATTTTATCTTTAGTGGCGGGGTTTTTTTTATTATTTTGCAATGCCGGAATAAACTTATAAAAGTTGCCATTAGGATCTCCATTTAAGTCCTCACAGAAGCTCACAAAGAGCCTGAGGTAATTGAAATGAATATAGCACGACAGCCCAGGTTGACTACTGCAGTATAATAGTACGTTTCTTTTAATGCCTGCAGGCTTTCACACACGCCACATGGCCTCTCCCCTCTCATTAAATAAATACCACACCTATGCTGGCAGCAAGGCGGACCACACAAACATTTAAATCCCACAATGGTATCTCAAGATCACCCAACAGAAATACTGCAGCGTTCACCAAAAGCAC